AAGAATTGACTGGTCCTCATGTTCTTGGAGCATGCATCTGTAAGCAGATTCAGATACAGCATAGATGTGTGGAGGCATCTCATGGCGTTTCTTCCCTCTGTACATTTCAGTAATATTCTCAGAGTAAATTGGAAGATTTTTGTAAGGATTTATGACTACACAGAAGACTCCAGAATAAGTATAGATAAGTCCTGAATAGTAGCGATCCTTCAGATTATGTAAAACAGATGCTTCATTCAAGCATACCAATTCTGCCATATCCTCCACCTTGGTGGAGTTCATCTTCTGAATATCATCTTTGTTGACCATTGCTTTCTTTCCATTCTCAGCCAGCTCAGCCATAACTTCATCTCCTTGCTCTTCTTTGATACTAGCCGCCTCAAAGCCATGGCGTTCTGATGGAATCCAAACTAACTTTTTAGCTGTCCAATCAGCTTGAGTGGCAGGGTTGTAGATGACAGCCCTATCCACAAAGAGATATCTCTCAGGATCTTCAAGTCCAGTTCTTTGCACTATTGTAAGCAGAAGAATCCAAGAGTAATCACCTCTTCAGCTGAAGATGGTGGCGCCGACGTATGTTCCCAGCCGTGACCACAGATCAGGCTCCTCAGTCCCAGGAAGTGCAGTTTTAAGAAGAGACCATTCCCTGGAGAAGGATATCATGCTTGGCAAACTGGAAGGTCAACGAAAGAGAGGAATCCCTCAACAAGATGGATTGACACAGTGGCTACTACAATGGGCTCAGGTATAGCCAGGACCATGGAGTAGGCACAGGGCCTGGCAGTTTCGTTCTGCTGTACATAGAGTCGCTATGAGTCAGAGACGACTCAATGGCACCTAACAACAACAACAACAACAACAACAATGATATTCCATTGTGTTATGTACCATAGTTTGTTTACCATTCATCTATTGGTCAGCACTTATCTTTTTGTTATTGTGAATAGTGATGCCATGAACATGGATGTTCACATATCTATTCATATCACAGCTCTTATTTCTGTAGGGTATATATCTAGTAGTGGTATTGCTGTTCATATGGTATTCATATTTACAACTTTTCAGGAAGCATCTGCCATTTTTCACAGTGGTTGTAAAATTTTACAGTTTCATCAGCAGTCTATTAGGGTTCAAGTCTTTCTACATCCTCCCTAGAATTTATTTATTTTTTAACTTCACCATTAATGCTGGGGTGAGATTAGTGCTTTGATTTGCATCTGTTTAATGACTAATGATCACTAGCATTTCTTCATGGTTTTTTTTTTTTTTTGCCACCTGAATGTCTTCTTTGATGAAATGTCTATTCATGTCCTCTTCCCATTTTTAATTGCATTGTTTTTCTTGTTGTTGTCAAGGTGTTG